ACTTCAGCAACTCCATGCAATGAAATCAAATCCAGCAGATCCCTTGACCATAAAAAGAGACAGAGTAATGTATCACAGCATGTAAGTAACCTTCTGTAGCTTGCTCCAGGCATGGAACCAACCAGGTGATGTGCGTCTTCACACAGATATCATGGACTTTTTGGGCGCTTTAAACTACAATATGATTCCATAATGAAGAGACAGATAAACAGACTGGTTTGCATTCTCTATACAAGGAAATCTCTTTACACAACATACAATGGACAATATAATGGAGAGGTTTAGGTGTGTCAGATGAAAGACTCAATATTCTGAAATTTTCACAAATGGCAAGAAAAGTTAAGCTTCTCTAAGTACAGCTGCTAGAAAGTTTTCGTTAGATAGCAAAAGGAAATCTGATCTGTGATCTGTCAGGAGGGAAAAGCCTGGGAGAATCAGCTGTTCTCACTGAGTATGGTCTGAGTAGAGCAAGTTGTTATCTCTTGAGTATGTGTGATGTCCTCCTCCACCCCAGGTAGTGAAGCACAACAAAAACATATGAACCAGAGATATAAAACTGTTCAAATCTTTAAGCCTACACTTAGGTAAAGCACCAACTAACATACATATATAGCACATGTACTGTTTACAAAGCTTTCCGAAGTTTGAAGTTCTTTGAAGAGCTGTATATACAACAGATAGCAGAACTTATTTTCATTCACACTGAAAAAAAGGTATTACGCATTTCCTTCCTTTCAGAGAAATATATGTAATTAAAGTCCACGTGATATGAAAAATATATCCTTCTGGCCCTTAATTTCCTTCCATTCATGTTTTGAATTGATTCATGGTGGTGTTTCTTTTTTTTTCCCAGAAATCTGAAAACAGCTCCCAAGTTTCAAATCATGGTCTGATTGCAGTTGTTATGAAATGGTCTTCTCTTATCGTTTAGATTTCCTCTCATATTAATTTTCAAGATGCAGCCAAAAAGTAACAGGAAAAGGCACTAAACTGGCAGCACAGGAGTCAGGTAGTGTAATTCTGGAAGAATAAATGAGGTTGGCGGAAGAGCAAATGGCCTGTGTTCCAAACGGGGAACGTTTTTACTCAGTTTGGAACTGAGTAAACTGAACTCTGCTGAAACATACTACACATTTTTCTCCAAGTGACCCTAGCAAGTGTACTTCATGGCTTTTATTGTTTATAAATATAATTGAGACTGTGGGTCTTTTTGGAATAGGCCTTTCTAAAGGTAACAAAAAAGATTTTAAGCTAATTCAGATGGTCCCAAAATGTATTCAATCCTGAACTGGCCAACATTTTGGTTCCTGGTTTGAGAATATGTAGGGGGTGCTGGAGGAGATTAAAGAAATGGGTAGTACAAAATTGAAGTATTCCTACTTTGGAAAAGGGTGGTGGGATATGGAAAGAGAGAGGAAAGGAGGACATGAGTTAAGAGCTAATTATTCCTGGTGACATTGGCTATTCTCAAGTAATCTACAGCTGGAAACCTTTCACCCAGACAGATCCAAGAGATGAGGAATGTAAGAGAAGAATGTTCTTTGCTTTTTTTTAAACAGATCCAGAATAAAAGTCAGGTCTGATTAATTTCTCGCCTGAATTGTATCATTTGGTAATAAAGGCACCTCTACCAAAGAACCTTTTGGTTTTCTTCTTCCATTGTAGCTGCTTGAAAAATCCCCTTTATATAGAAGGTATGATTTCAAGAAATGCAAATAAAATCTCTATGAGCACAAACCTAAAATATATTATGGCATCACAAAGAGCTGCATCCAAAGGGAAAGCTACAAGCATAAATAAATGCCAACACTTGCTTGAATAGCTTCAGCTTTTCAGTATTATCAGCTGTGTGTTCACCAGGGAATCATCTGGCTACTGGGATTTTACACATCTTTCAGCAAAATTAGAGTTCCAAATGCAAACTTAACAGCTCAGGAAGGTTATGTACACTTCTCCCAGTGGGGGTTAAAGGTCACAAACCAGTGCACAGATTGAAATGAAATACACAAAGCAAGATTTCAAGGTGCGATAAAGACAATTTGTTAAGTACTGTTTCATGTTTCATATCATTAATTTTCTTCAGATCAGTACTCTGGTATTTCATAAGAAGAGAAGTTCTACTTAACATTAATATGTAGAGAATTTCACAGGGAAATTAATTTAAAAGGCAAAGCTGCTAAGGAGACATAAATTAAGGATTTATTCTGTTAAACTATAACATCAGAAGGTATCACAAAACAGAGAGGAGACTTGCATCTAGAAGCACACTACCACTGTTTCATGACAATGCAGTTGACTCTGTCAGGTGAGCCATTGCTAGAGATATGGACAAACTGACCTTACCAGATGGCTCTTTGCTTTGGGCTTCACTCACATGCAAAACTCAAAGGGCAGGAGTAACAACAAGAGGAGACATGTCCTCATAAGATGTTAGACCTGGAACAGGGAGATTAATTCTCTGAAGCTGACCTGAACTGTGACTTTTAGTACGATTTTCTACCCCCTGAAGCTCAGCTTTCCCAGTAGCCATCAATTCTGGTTTTGTTGACAAGGTTGGAAACGCCAAGAGGCATTCAAAAACTTCTCAACCATGTTGTCTTTCCAAAGATGGTTTAGTTGTATCAGCCTCAGTCCCAACTGCATGCAATCTCCAGAATTTCCTCTTTCCTTACATTTAAATGAACCTAACCCTTGACTCTGAAAAAATGTATTTTTGTGCTGAAAATCTAGAGCTAAAACTCATCTGTTCTTTTGTAGACCTCACTTTAATAATGTTTAAATTACTCAAACCTTATTTATTCATTTAATTTGTACAGTCATTAAAAAAATAAAGAATTTTAAATCAAGAACCTAACAGAACAACTGTCGTGAGCCAATGAAATAACAAAAATGTGATGAGGTCATTGATTAAAATGTTCCCTTCAGCAAACAGTAAATAAGTGAGAGAATGAACTCCCATTTGGCTCAGGAACTGAAGCCAGCACAGCTCACAGTAGCTGCCAAAGAATCATTGATTATGAGGGATCAAACTCCTTGCTAGCTCACTAATATCAAAGCAGAGAGATTAGTCATGGACTGCAATCCAGAGAAAACTGTCACAGGACCCATCACTGGTTTTGATCTATGAAGGCTAGATTTACCTTTGGCAGCTCCCAGTGATGAGGCTGGCAGAAGAGCTTGGACTCAGATGAGTATGTCCACTGTAATTTTACTAGAACCCCTCTAAGAATCTTAGTAATTCCATAAAACTTTTTAAAGCCTTTTTGGGAATACAAAGTACTTTTTAATCTTTATTTATCCTAATTCAGTTGTTATGAGAGACAGTCAATTCACTGAAGTACAATTGGATCAGGCCTGTAATTATAGATTAGGCATGGGGCTACTGGAATAGTATTACATTGCATGCTGTAAAGCAAAATAAAAAGAAACAACTGATGATTGTCATCTCCTATTACACTGTCATGTTGAGCTGACTTTCCAAATCTTTGCTACAGCAACATGACAAAGGTGTAACCAGGATTTCCAAAGGATTATTCATTTTAATCGGGGGGATCACATCCATTATTTATTCACAATAAACTGCTCCAAAATAAGTTAGCTGAAGGGCTTACTGGTGAAATTTTAATTTAGGCATCTCATGCAAAGATTTTCAAGTGGAGAAGAGAGTTAAGGCCATTAGCAATACATAACTGACTCTGTCTCTGAGGTCCCTGATCCATAAAATTACAGCCATTGGGCTAACGACTTCAGGTCTCCTCAGAAAAGAAATATTTTAACTCTTGACAAATTTTGCATGCTGAGTTTGAGGCCTATTATTTTTATTTCTATGAGACATCATATGACATTATTTTCATACATAGAAGACCACTGTATTACTCAGAAGTGAAGAATTATCCTTTCCTGTGGCTTGCTACCTACTCTGGGCACCAAGCTCTATTTTTTATTTGACAAACTTCTCTCACATCAGCAACTTGCATTGTTGGGCTTTGTTATTGATACTTTCCTACTGGAACGAGAAATAACTTTCTCAAAAATATTCACTCTCTTTGGCAAGAAATAAAAGATACAGCACAGCTAGTGTTGCTAGTAGCATGAGCTTGTGAGTTCTCTGTCATTCCTTCTCATACACCACCTTCTTCAAAAGTGCAGCAAAATTTTGACTGCTCAAGTCTATCATATTTTTCACAAAAAAAAAAACCTTGTTGATATTTTTTCCCACAGAGAAGAGCAAATATTGCTTGCAGTCATACCTCATTTCCTGTCCATTTTTCTAAGTCTGCATGGTTGTTTTTTTCAAAACTAAAACTCTTTAAAGCCCACAGTGACCTCACTGCATTTGGAATCCTGTACATGATTCTCTTCTATACAAGAAAATCTCTTGTATAAAAAGAACAAGTATGAATAAGCTGTTCTTACTCATTTAGTTTCCTGTGCTGAAGCCCTTCAAAGTCCTGAAACCTTCCCAAGAGAGAAAAAAAAAGTAAAAGAAAATGCCCTACATCTTCAGAAATTAACTTCAGAAACTTATGACATACTAATTTAGCTGTATTCTCAGGAAGGATGAAGCTACTCACTTCATTAAAAGTGTTTCAGTTTGGGCAACAAAGACACACAGGAAGTCAAAAGCCAATTTTTTAAAAAGTATCATAACATTAGTTTTATTTAAATTTCCCCTTGCTGTACATTTCAGGAGATACTGTCAGACTAACCCAAAAATACCTTGTGAAAAAAACATAATAGGATTTTACTTGGAAAAGAATTTGCTATAGGTAACAATATAGTAACAACAACAATATAGTAACAGTATAGTCCACTAAGGCAAGAGAGTCTGTATCTTCTTTTACCAAAAATGGGCCAAAACCTTGAACATGAAGTCAGTATTAAACTTCTGTTTTCAATTGGAATGGCATATTTTTATAAGAAGTCATTTATACTAAATATTGTCATATAGACATTGAGCATACAAGAATATCATGTGCTTTTTTCCTTTTCTTTTTAAGATCAACTCAACCAGCCTCTGCAATGAAACTAAAAATGAAGATTTACCAAGGTCATACTCTTATGCCCTTGACGACTCTCCAGAACTCCATCCAAATTCCCTTGCACCTCTCAGTGACAAGCCTTCAGAACACTCCAGGGAAATTATTCCAGTTGGTGTTTCTATACAAAGTCGAGAATACAACTCCTCAATAGCAGATTGACTCTGAATGCACATCTCATATTAGACAATCCTAACTCTCAGAAGGATTTTCAGAGAGAGACTATTGACTTGCTGTCCCTGTGTCTCAAACCAACAACCTGTAAATCATATGACAAAGTATATGGGGAGTCTATTTCTGAGGCCAGACAGGGAGATAAAGATGCCCCTACAAAAGATTGAAACTCGAATCATTGATTTCCTGAGGCAAAATTAATAGAGATTTTTTCTCATCCTCTACAGTTAAATCTCAGACTCCTCTCCTGGTAAAGTTTTCTGTTGGCTAAAAATCAAACATAATACCAAGTAATCCTTAAGGTAGTTTTTTCTGTTAAACTCATTAAACCTAAATCTAACTCTTTGTGGCAGTTTCATTTTGTTTTTTTGCCGTTTGTCTGTAGTGAAAACTCTCAGATCAAAACAAATCTCAGACTAATGTAAGGATATGAAATCCATTCACTGAAGAAAAAAAAAAAAAAGAATAAAAATCACATGCATTTAGTATGCCAAACATTAAATGTGTTTTATTGCTAAGAATTGTTTAATGAAACAGAAGTAAAATTATACTTAGCAGAAATTCTACTTGTAAGGGCTGAAGTTCTTAATACTTCTTTGTTCTAGAAGAAATTAAAAGTGCTTCTAAAATATAGTATCATAAGCCTTGTTCCAGTGTTGGCTGCCTTCAACTCTACCCTATAATTTATGATCAGGCTATATATTTTCCTCTTGACAGGTTGATAACTTTAGTCCTGCTGCTTACAAGATCCAAATATGAATCAAACTGGGGGCGGGGGGTGGGAGGTGATGTGGAAAGAAAACTTTGTGGTAATTAATTCTAATATGGTCCAGTTATATCTTGTAATGTTGTAAAAGTGCCTGTTCTCAGCACTGGTGCATGCAAACATGTTTAGATTGAAAGAAATATCAGGAAGATGAAAGGAAGGTGAGAAATGGCAGGCCGCTCATCCCACACCTGCTGTGTAAACAGCATGTGATGGAGGATCAGCTGCTCAGAGCGGCTCAGTGCTGGTCTCATTCTGCTTGCAGCTGATACCACTGTGATTTCTACCTTCCACTCAAAAGACGAGTAGATTTAGCCAATGGCAGGTTGAAAATCCTACCCTAAAATGCTCAGTGAAATATTCACAATAATTTGGCTGGTGATCTGCTGTTACTTCAAAACATTAAAAAAGCCCTAATAATTAAATATTCTAAAGTCTTACAGTATTGATCCCTAAGGAATTACTACCAGTTTTCATGTTTTCACAGAAGGTTATTCTTTTCCAGCAAGACCTAACCTTTGAAACCTTTTTCTGGAAAATGTAAGTTGAAGCAAGGCCAATTTTGAATTGACGGAAGAGGTCACGAAGGATTCTGTCTTGAAGTCATAAGACTTGTGCATCCTCAACACTTGTGAGAGACATGATAAAAGAAGAAAAAAATGTTTCTAAGCATGAAACAAAATAATCATTGAATGGATGTGTAGTCTAGAAGCTTCCTCAAGATCCACAAAATGTTTGATTAAATTCAGTTGGCTGTTACTGAGTTACTGCAGTTCTAAATGAAATGCATGGAAAAAGTACGACATATTTGTCCAAAGCACTATTTAACAATGAGGGAGTAGAATATAACAAGATTCTTTAAAGCAAATTATCTTGAGATAGACTATTTTAGCCCATGTACTTTAAAGGAAGGTCATGATCACTTCAAACTTTCTAAAAATGCTGAAAAATGAGGTTTTGTCCTCTTTCTCCCCCACCTCCTGAAACAAAGATTTCTTATGAGAGAATGTTTTAACAGAAGGCTCATGGAGAACTAAAATTTTAAAATGAAACTTTTTTTGTTTTTAATGGTAATATTAAATGTCAATCCTAAATGGAAAAAAATTGTTATGAAATGAAACTTCAAAATAAAATATTTTAAAAGCCATCATTCTCGGGTGTTGATGAATTACAGAAATCTCCCATTTCCAATGTAAAAATGTTACACTTTTAAATATCTAGATTTTTCTATGTTTCAATTTGGGACCAAGATGGAATTTTTCTATTTTTCCACTGAAGGCATTTTTATTTTCCAAAGAACTAAAAAGAAGTCATATTTTAAAAAATCATATTTAAATCTCAATGCATTATTACTTCTACTAATGCACCAACAGAACTCTGCATGCGGTTTCTTTTAAATTAATATTTTTTGTGGTTTAATTATCATTAAAGCTGACTGACTCTACACCAAAAATCCATTGAATAATTTGACAGTTGACTGAAGAATTTGCTGACTAACGTGTTTACTGAAGGAACACTACATGTGTTCTGTCATATAGATAAGTAGAGAACTATAAATGATTTACAACACAAGCTGCAATGAAATGGACCTTAGGGCTGCCTCTTGTTCATACTGTAAACACTGACACCGTCACCATTCACAAAGAGGAAGTACAAAAGGTACAATTCAGCCTTGCTGCTATCAAACAGACAGATGGTTTTAGAAAACAGTGCACAATTAGTCCATCCTATTGAGTGGTTTTCATTCACTCTGGCACTGGAAGGCCTCCGAAGAACAGTGTCTTCTTGGGGATGGGGTAGCTGGGCACACTATGAAGAATGACCGTGTCTTTTCAAAGCAGTATCTCAGCAGAATACAAACCAGCTCTTCACCTTAGAGGAAAGCAGATGTGAGGCCATTTCTGATCCACCACTGTGGATATAATAGCTGTTATTCACTGATTCCATTTTCCTTTTCTGATAGCAATGACTCTCGTTAGAAACTTTCTAGAGATCAGAAACCATCCAGCACCTCATCAGGCAATGAATTAGCAACACATTGACTTAACAATATGCTGCTGACTGCACTGCAGTGTGTAGGATTAGGAGTAAAACTAGTTTATATGGGGTTTTTTTCATTTATAATTGTGTAGTGCTGTGATTAACTGTCACATTACATCATCCAGACTAATCCAAAACATTAAGAATTATTTCCTATCAGACAACTTGCCGTACTTGTGTTTTTAGAGTGCTTTCAAATTAATTTACAATCTTTTTATTGTTTTTATCTTCAATATTTTCTTCTCAGTTAAAGATGAAGTGTTGTGAATTTAACATTTCCTTGCACTGTACATACTTACTTCCATCTACTCCAGTAAGTATAAAAAGTGACAGAAGGAAAAATTTGAACTTTTTAATCTGCTTGTCCACTGTGTTGAGGACCATTTCTAAGGGCACAGGACACTTCTATGGCCAAAAAGCCTGCTATACTTGGCAAGGTTTAAGGCAAAGGCAATTATGATTCTGAGGACCATCTGACAAGAGCTGTTGGCTGTAAACAAACCTCATTATTGCCATTGACTATACCATGGAAGATGCTCCACTACTGAGGAAAAGGCAGCAGGATAAATGCTAAAACTGACAGGAAAAACATGATACATATCTTTCCTTTGGCTGAATATTTTGTATCCAATTCCCTTTGCCAAAATCAGACACTTTTAAAAAGTCAACAGCAAGAACAGTGTGTTGACACTGTGGTCTTCTGAAATCTCCATTCCACACAGCACAAGTTGATAGCTATGCAGATACTTTCAGTGTTGGTCAAAAAAACCCTGATTTTAATAGTTAATAGAAGACCTGTTGTGTCCCTATTTTTAATGCAAATTAATAAAAAATCATAATCTACCTGGCAAATTCAAAGGTAATCTGCTAATTGAGTCAGACAGACCTGTACATCAAATCCTTTCATCATCAAATTTCCCTTTCATTTGGGACAGCAAGGCATTCAATAATACAGAAAGTAACCAAATACAGGCTAGACAGTCTGTAACACTTCAGAAGAAAATCCTTGCCTACATAAATTACTCAAGTTTTCTTTTTTCTGTGGCACCATGAGTCTTTTCAGGATACTGAAATCTGGACAAAACCTGTTGCTACCTCTACCCAAGAGCTTTTAATACTGATTGTGAAAGTGCTGCTTTGAACTAAACAATGTTTGTAGCAAGCCTTATTCTACATGAGGAAAAGTACCTACATCACATTGAATACTTTGGCAATATGATAAATATCAAATGCAACTAAAATTAGCCACTTTTTTTTTTTTTTAAGGCACTTAAATTTTTCACTTCAGTGATATTAACATCCACATGGAAAAAGGAGACAGCAAGTAACGTTATCTGTGTTGAAGTATTCAGAGCACTGCCCCATGCACGCTTCCCTTGACACTTGCAAACCTCCCAGAACCTCTCTATGAACACAGAAACGCTGCCAAGACTTCTCTGAAAAAACACCAGGAGTTGATTCAGGCTTTTTTGGCACCAGACAGTACCCTCAAGAACCAACTGTTGTCAATTCTCACCCTTTTTATCATGACTTTCATGATATTTGGTATTTTACTTAAAGCTTTATTTCCTCATGGTAATTGATTATTGTGACAACCCAACTAAAAAACAAGTTTCTGACCCCAAGTCAGCAGATTTTTTCTAAAGCATAACAAAACTATATTCTAAGAGCTTAAAAGTCATATTGCAAATACTTATAGTGATTTTTAACCTCTTCTTTTCCTCTCAGATATTTACTGAAAAATAGAAACAATTTCCAATGATTTTTTACATAGCTCTTAATGAGATTTCAGGGCAAAACTTTTTTGAAAGAATTATCTGATGTTTACAAGTACAATGGACAAAGATGCTACTTCATTCCTATTTTTTCCTATTGTTTTTGTAGAATTTTTCCACCAGAGTACCTATATTAATCAATAATACATTAGAACACAGTGTGACAAAGGATGAATTCACCTTGCCTACCTTCTTTCATGCATCTTATAGACATTTGAGCTAGTGAGTTAAGCTGTCTTTGGACCTAGGGGAAATAAAACATTACTTTGCCTCATGTTTATTCTCCTCCCAATGTAGCTAAATTTCACATACAATAAATACCAAATTATATCTGTAGATGCAAGGGGTTGTAGGTGTGTTCAACAGGAATAGCACATGCATCAAGATGACAGCATATCCTTTTAAGA